AAATACACACACACACACACACACACACACACACACACACACGTGTGTGTGTGGGGGGGGGGGTCATAAATACAAAATCGCTAAAATAATTTTTCCAAAATTAACGAATGTATATATCAAGCAAGAAAACTAAATAGATAATAATGATTAGAAAAAAGTACAAAGTAGAATCACTTAAAATTCAATGACAGTGTATGCGAATCGCATTTAAGTACTGATATCGTTAATGCAGAAAACGGCAGAAAAAGAATTCATTGCACGTATGATGGTTATATCCATTGGCATTTCGTCGTCCAGAAGTTGTTCAGTTTTATGCTTCTTAGCGAAGGAATAGGAAAGAAAGAGAAAGAAAAAATCCCCGTAAGGATTTTATCATAATCGTTCTCGTGATGGCCCATCGTAATGGAATGCTGGATTAGAAAATGACGTATGGTTAAAGAGTCATAAGGAGAAATGTAGGGGAACCTTTCGATACATTTTTCGGGGATCACGATGAGTCTGCGCGTTTTTATTTCCTTATCGCATACGCAATTTTAGAGATAGCGATTTATTGGCTTCTTTATCTCATTATAATCTTAAATTATATATTATGAGTAACAATTTTCACATAAATTTTCATATTTTACGTTACAAATACGTTGAGAATTAAGAGAGTCAAAATCTTCAATATTCGATATCTCTGAATATATTATTTCTACAATTTACAAATACGTCTTTCTAACTACGCATTGTCGAGTCTGTTGTAAGACAATAAGTATACGTATCAATTGATGTTGGAACTTTTACAATTATAAAATTTTAAAAAAATTGAATTGACTTACCTTTGTGTGCCATGTCGTCAGCAGTGACCGAAGCTATGAGGCCGGTTGCGCCCGGCCATGGAGCGACCGCAGCGCCCAGCTGCTGCGAAGGCAGAATCTTCGGGCCTTTGAACACTTCCGTTCACTGAAACCCATAATTAATATCGTTAGGAAACCTCAGTATCATACGTAGTACGTCAACAGTGCTTCGTCGTCTGAAAAAAATTAAGTGTTTAGATCGACTAACCGCGTAATTAATTAATCGGTCGTAACGAGAAAGGTATACTGTTTTTGCCTCGCAATGCGAATACAAAAAGCAGTAGAGATGCGTAATGAGTACAATGTTGATGTAACGAGATAATTTCAGGCAAATTTAATAACGCGCGCGAAATTAACGAAAGAATGGCGCGGCTCAGCTCGTAAGCACTTGGCAGTTTCGGGCGATCCATCCAAACTGACTCGCCGTGCATGAACGTCGTATTCGGTTCGGCGCCGCATACACGAAAAACTGTACGTATTACGGCACCTGTGTAAATCTGCGTCATTTGCATATCGCGGTCGCATGTGCGTCGCGTGGTCGCCTTGAACGGGCAAATAAACCGATCTCTTCCCGCGCTGTTATCAGTGAGTGCGCGCGGTTCCTATCCTACCGCAACGTATATTCACAGTACACTTCGATCTTGCGTTTTACAAAACGCACGGAGAGAAAGGGAGATAAATATATAGAGCCGCCAGATGTGTCCTTTCGTCAACAGATATTGAAGAACAAACTTTGAGAAAAATTACACGATTATTCTAACGACGAGGCGTCGAGACACACGAAGAGGAAATAATAAGAAAAAAAAAAAAAAAAAAAAAATAAAGAATTAAAAAATTTCAGCGAGGAGACAGAGAATTGAAGAAAAGGATAATAGAATTTTGTTAAATCTTTAATCTTGAGTGGAATATTTATTTCATATAACATTTAGTCGAATTAAAATTTAATTTAAATTTTGATAATCAATTTTCATTAGTAAGAATTGTGGCAAGAATTGTTATTAAAGATATTAATGATTTCTTAATTAATGTATCAACTAGTATTTAAATATTAAAAATTTGCACTATTATTGCCATTTTTACTAATAAGTGCAAGTGACATTGTATCTTCACGTATGAGACAAGACACAATGAACGTAAATCATCCCTGAAACAAATGGAATCGTTTTGAACATCATAACATTGACGACGTGAAGTGTTTTAATTACCGAGAATCGCGCTCGTTGAAAACGTGAATTACTCGCAAACGTAACATCCTCCGTGTACTTTTCACTACTGTCGACAAAAAAAAGAGGGTGAAGCGAAAGGTGATGGTACTAGAAGGGATGAAAATGGAGCTAAGCGCGATAATTAGTGTCGGAAAGAGTTAGTCAACTGAGAACGTACGAGTTGTACGCGTAGAACAAGAAGCTATAGAAAGAAAAACAGTTCGTGAAAGGAGAATTCAAATCCAAAGAATAAAAATCATATCTTCTCATTAATGACATTGCAAAATATAATACATTATAGAAATTAAAAGTGATATCCGAAAGCTTTTCACTCATAAACGCTTCATGTTCATTTGCTTTGATCAAATTGGAATTGACTTCAAATGACTTAATTACAGAGTAGTCATCCATTTTTATCATCCCAAGT